CTGCGCGCTGATTTAATGTTTCCACGCCGAAGCTACAAGAGGATTAATAAAATTAAATGAAATATTTTTAATTTGTAAGAATAATTAAATTTCATCATTTGTTCATAGATATCGTTTCACTTATATGTAACATGATCGAATAAATCAAATAGTTGATGGAGATAGACACTTACCTAGTGTGTTTGTTTTGTTTCTGTTTTGTATGATCATCACCTTAAGCCGTTTGCAAAAGCCGACGTATTTGTGATGTCAGTTATATTCGTAACCTAATAATATCTTCGTTGTTATGCATGGATTACTGTGTCGTAAAAATAACAATTTGCCCCTACCTTCTTTCTCAGTGTTGTACGCTGGCCTCCCAACCAGTGTTTGCTGCATTGGCTCCCACGGCAGAAGCTCACGGACAGAAGCGAGTGGCTACATTAGTAAATGGTGATATACTGGTACAGATGGTCTGAGAAAGACTGGCTGCGTTTGGTGGCGGACATTGCGATTATCGATAGAGGTTGATAGCAGCGATCCTGGACGTTATCAAAGCCTACTAAACCAGCGATTCTGACTGCCCTTGGTACGAGTACCTTAAGTGGCTAAAACCCGTTTTATCCATCTGATTGAAATTCTCACCAATACAGTAATATGCTTCTCAGTTAAACAATTTTTATATTGGAATATCTTCATATTCCTTGACCGCTTCTGCTTTCGTGTTGCGGAGTCAGACGCGTCATACAGTGCTTCCAATGTTTGTAGTCCTGTGCCAGTGTCTGAGCTTCGGCAAAAGACAACTGCAGTCTGGAACAGACTCCTTCCATATGTTTGCACCAGGTTAATTTTGGCCGTCGCCTGGGCCTTCTGCTTGCTGTTTTCGCAAGGAAGAGTTGCTTAGCCTTCCCTTCTGGAAGCATTCGCAACTTTTGCCCAAACCATCGCAGCTGTGAATTCTCAATCTGAAGACGCAGCGACTGTATATCAAGGCTTAATCTTCTTCATTTAAAATTTATATTTGAGTTTTCAGCTACACTTTCACCGATGCTTCAGTAACTAAGATTGTAACTAATTTAGGGTCTCTTTTACGATATTCGGCAGATGATAAGTTTCCTGCACGAATACCACGGACATCCGTTCAGGTTGGTTGAATTGAGTGCGTTGCTGGACACAATGAAAGAATTGGAAGTTAGCAAGAGGAAGCAGCGGTATGTGTATGTGCTTTCACTTCTGGTTATACAGGTTTTAAGATTATATTTTTCCGTTGATTTATTTCATTTTCTCCCAGTCGTAGATGCATCTATGGCTGAACAGTTCAGAATTAATCTGTCTTCATGGATGCAGTTGTAGGAGAAAAAACACTTTTAGGAGAGCAGCTTCATGCTTCAATGGACCATTGAACAGTGAAGGAGTTTTCAAATTTTTTCCCTGAAAAGATACGCTTCTTGACTTTTGGGCGGTTTTCGATTCAGTTCATCGCTAGAAAATGTAATGCAATACCGTGGAATTATACAGGCAATCATACATCTGATTGACACTCAGTACCAAAAGACAAATCACGCCGTCAGTACTGAAGAGTCACTGTTGAATTCGTTCAACATCATGTATTGGGTGCAGCAGGGGGAACGGCTTTCCTTCTTCTGTTGCTTAAATCAGTGCTAAACTATGCATTACGGAAGGACGTCGTCACAAATGACAACGAACATCTGATGTACCGACGTAGCTTGATGTTGCAGGCCGTACACCCAACCGAACTTGAGTAGTGAAATGACGTCGTGCAGCAGCTGAGCGACTCTGAAAGATCAGCTGACACTCATCGAAAATGTTTGCGAAACGGCACTTCGAATGTGACTGCAAGTCGATGCCAAAAAGATGATGATGATAGTGACTACCAAGACAAACATCCAGAGGATGTCAAGGATGGTCGTTGCGAGGGTAAATATTAACCAATTCAAGTACCTGGAACGTTGCTAGTGATGGCGACTTTGATCTTTGAATGGGCTCGCGCAGTTTACTGGTTAAGTTGAAAAAGTTGTGTAGCAGTCAAACAAATGAAGCATTAGAAGGACTACGATGATGGCAGTCCTTATTCGCAGTGCTCATGTACAGCCTGGAAACAGTTGCTATCCTGAAGCATCAAGAATTTTGTTTCGAAAACCATGTCTGAGAAGTATACGTATAGTGCGATATTTCCGTTAAGGTCATCAGTAGGCAGGTGATATAGACGACTGGTCTGAATGAACTACCAGATTAACTCAAGCACTGACCTGGTTTGATAAAACGAACCAAAGAGAGAATGGAGACGTTTTCGAAACTTCTTGGGAGCGGTTTGTTGGCCGTGTGCGTACTGGATGACAATACCTATTCTAGAAACTCCACGTTGAGGCAGACCTGCTTACGGCAAAAAACATAAACTTTGCTGCAGCGGCGAACATAGCCTATTGTAAACCTGAAATGCCTTTCTCAGAGTTGAACGTAATGATCTGGTTACTCGCTTTCTTGTCTTAGTTCTGCCATCCTTTGATGACAATCGCAGACCAACAAATGCAACAGAATATAAAAATAAGAATTTATTTAAGGATAGGTTTGAATTAGTATCATTCGATGGTTGGTCTCTCATGTTGATAATTAGAGCAACTGGTCAGAATTTTTCATTTAATCAGAAATTACTGATAACGCTGGGAAACATTAAAATTGTTCTTTTTTACTCTAGTGACGCCATGCAAGAGAAAAGCACCGGAAGCGCTCCCGATAGCGACAGTGATAGCAGTCATCTTGCAAGCCCCGCCCAAGTTTCAGGAAAAGAATTGCAGGTGATAGCAAAGAAGCTTTTCAAAAAAGCTAAATCCAAGGTACGTCATGCTTTGTGTTTTTAGTCAAACACGGCGCCGATATGTTAAATGATCAAATTTTAGAATACAGAGCACTTCACAGTCGTCATTAATTGCTTTGTATTTGTGATTAAAAAAAATTTTTAAACGGAAAATGAGTCAAGAAATTAGTCTAAAGTTTATTTATCACGGAGCTTTTGGAATTTTGGCGAAGTAACCATTATTATTATGATAAGTCTGACGCTTTCAGAGGAACACCCAATCAGGAGCTCCATAATAAATGGACTTGTAATTATTTTCTCAGCTCATACGAATCGATTTCGATGTTCGCTTGGCCTTCTGGGTCGTGATGCTAGAAGATGATCCTAATGTGGAGCACAGTTTATCGAGGCACTTGTCGCAGGTCAGTCGTGGCAGTTTCCGGGGTCTTCGGTCGGTCTGCTGAATAGGCAGCAACTGCTTGAAGCATTCGTTCTGGGCTTACATTCCGTTTCAGTCACATGATTTATTTTCAGTGACCATTTAATGTTTTTCGAAAATGTTTTAGTAATCATTACGATATTTTCGTATTAAATAGTAATATTTTGAGAGTCGATCTAAATTTATGACAATATTGTCCTCTTTTTTGAAAATGAACGGAAGCGAAACAGCTGTTTACTTAAACCGTCAATTTTCAGAGTTCACAGGTCTGAAATTGCGGAGAGAAACATCGAACTCAGGTTGGTTTTACAGTGGTCCCAGCCATCCGGACATCACAGCTTGGCTTTTATAAATGATAGAATAAAACTTCAGAAGTTCAGATATTCCCAAGCCATGTGAAGGTACTGCTCTTTTTCTGCCTCTTTTCCACTTATCACGTGATGACCTCTAAAGTGCCTTCTCTGATATTCTCATTCAACGCGTGGGTCTTAGAAATTCTGATCTCTCGATTCAGAGAAAGAGTGAATCATAGGTAAAGGTAATAAAGACGTCTATTTTATGAATCTCGTCACTTCTCGTTACATC